TCATACATGTGCATAGGCTGGCTGCAGGCTCGCGGTAAAAACGCGGCGTCAGTCGCTGCGCGGGCGCAGCCCTAGTGCGGCGCGATAATGGTGGCGGTTCCCAGCCTCTGCCGCGGTTCCTTGAAGCCACCGCACCCGCGCCTCCTGCCCACTGAATGACATACCTGGACCTCCATTCAATGGCGCCATCTCATCACTCCACTATACAACTATGTGCGACGTGTTTTTGTTATCTTTCAGAAGAAATATTGAATATTACATGTCGGCAGCCAGTCTAAACAGCTGAAAGACGCTGTGGCTTTCAGTCGTTGGAGTACTTCACGAAACAAACTTGGTGTAATGTATGTTTGTGACATCAATACGTATGCAAAGTAATGTACTCCTCAGGTCCTCTGGCGTTGCTCTCGGGCCGCGGAGTGGACACGCTCAAACGTCACATAATTATTGAAGTGGACGCTAAGAGTCCGCCATTAATATTGATAGAAGCTTAGATAATTATATTCTATGTGTGTCGCGGCTTGCGACGTTTTTGCCGCGGAACAAACGATCTCATTCCTAGTGGCGGCCACATTCTCCGTGTTGCGCACACTTGCTAACTAATGAATTACATTTTTTCCTCGTCTGTCAATCATATCTGTTAACGGGTACTGGGAAACGGGTGGCGCCGGCGCAGGATCACACGCACCACACGCCTGCACTGACCACTCACAACACTACACACATACACACACACACACACACACACACACACACGCACAAGGTACCTAGTTAAGATAGAACTGACACTGCACATAATGTATAGGGAGGCAGGTCGCTTCCAACCAGCTGATCTGGAAGTCATTGGGGAGGCCAGTGTGAGGCAGTGGACGTCGCGCGTCGTCTGGCTGATACAATGATGACGACCTAGCTGTTGTTTTATCGTCATTAAAATGAGAAGAAACTTAAGTATAACATGACAAAACATTCGGCAATGGATGATTCGCAAGTGATTTGCAAATTGCACACGGAGAGTTCAAAATATGCTCTAGTAGGTACCACTCGAATCATTCGAGGGCTTGTACCTAATAAGAATATAAATCGATACGTTCCATCTGAGTTTTTGTTGAGATGCTGATATTATCTGCAATCGTCAATTACGTAGGGAGCTAACAGAGTTTTTACAACACAAGCGATCTGACCGGCAAATATGTCAAGCTGTCCGCGCACCGAGATCTAGAGCTCTACAGCCAATACTTGTTTAGTGATTAATTCAATACATTCACTGGTACCTACGTTACTAGTTTTCTAATATTTCCTGTAATTAACTGAAATATGATTTCACTAAGTACATAGCAGGTGTTTGCAATACCTGCCTCCACTCCGTGACAATGTTTTGCATTGAATGTGTTACTGGACAATGACTGTTTAATGGATACATATTCCCCGGCAAAGTCGGGAAATGGCCCACGCTACAAGGAGAATAATAATAAATTAATAATATAAAATGTCCAGAGATAGTTTATGAATAACGAGTAATAAATTAAATAAACAAAAAATATATACATATTCGCCAATTAATTGTATCATGTGTCAGGCGGTGGGTGCAGGAACTGTCTAGCCATTATGTATATCAGTCAATTAATCACGTTTGCTATATTACATTAATAAAGTGACTCGTATTTTAATTATATATTTATGAATTTCCCGACCGGTGAATGTGTGCATTATACACGCCTGCCCGTGCCCTCGGGCAACTGTAAGCGATGTTACATGAGTACTAATTAACTATTTACTAATTACTATGAACATGTTGTATACTGCTGCTCTGCCCGGTACATCTATATTGCTCGTCACTCCAGACACGACAGCAATAGGAAACAACACACAGACACTGCAGTAGGATGACGAAGTGTGAATAAAGTGGTAGACTCAAAGTTTCTACAGAGAGAGAACACAAAGGTATTCTTCAGCTGATCCATAGATTACAAATACCATAACTTTTAATTATTAAAGGTTGGTTTAGGCCTAGCCGATTATATTACTAAGTATAGCAGTAGTCACTGTGTCTGACATACAGGGCGACACTTCATTAGTTCTAAAATATTGAAATAATGGTTGTGTTGTGTGTTGCATTGATATATAACGATAGAGTTACATAATAATATTTAACAAAGCAAGGTCTGACTGTCCGTAATAAATAAATAACAAAAACAAACAACTTCCATTGAGCGCCCGTCTTTAGGCACATTATAACAGTGTTTGATGATGTTTGGACTTTTAAGAGAATTCATAAATATCTAACTTTTGCAGGAAATGAATAAATTCTTATATTATGTGGAGAACATTGTTACCTAATTAAAATCAAGAGTTAAGCGAAACGTACACGGTCTATCTCTGGTGGTCTGTTACATTTTTAAGCCCCATTATATAGCGGTTTGGTAAAAAAATATTTGCGGCTCTCTGATGAACTAATATTTTCGTAAACATTCTTTGGTTCGTTTTAGAGTTTAAAAAGCATGGACTAGAACATGTCCTAAAATTGCAAATAGGAAATGAAAGAGGGCAGCAGTATCTACGAAACGTTCAGTAAACTAACTGCGCATGTTCAGGACAATGAATATGACACAAAAACGAGTAAAACAACTTTTATAAATTCAATTGAGTGCCGGAGTTTTTCACAACTTCAGAGGATCGTAAACCTCGGCAGGCATATGCTTTAAATTTCAAGTCGCCACAGGCAGACGCACAAAAACGGGCGAAGGGCTGTAGCTGTGGTATTATGCATATATGCATACATATACATATGTGTATCAATATGAATGCGCCACGATCCACGATACGTATCACGCCACTCGGCGCAACGTGAATGTCAAACATTTGCAGTGACATTCTGCTAATTACTAATTACTGTACTGCGCGGACGTGACACTTGTTCGTGGCTCGACATACATTACCTGTCAACAAGCGAGGGGCTCACCTCGGCCTGGTAGTGGACGGTCGATGTATGGCGGGCAGGCGAGGCGGCGGCGATGGCGCGGTGTGTGCGTGTGTGCGGAGGTGGTATGTGGCGGTATGGTCTCACGGTGTTTCCCACGGCACAGATGCCCTTAAACGTCGGCTGCGTGCGCCCGCGCATGCCCGCCACTGCCTGCCAGTGCGCTGCGCGTACAGATCACTGCAATATGCGTTATATCGGGCAACGCATGTTAATTATATCACTTTAATTATTAGTTTGTATGACATCAGTCCGTGTATGAGTTTCATCTGTAAGCGTTACGTCTAGGTATTCATCATGAATTACCTAGTTAAGTATTGTACACTGAAAAAAAAAATTGTTAACATACATCAAAAAAATGTTTATTGCTATCAAGTCACTTGTTAATATACGAGCGCACAAAGCTTTGTGATCCCGGGAAGCAAGTCTTCTTGATAGAGAAACGGAATAAGCAGACATAGCACATTGAAACAAGTAATGGTCGACTTAATCAAGTCTGATTATTATTTTTATCAACTGCCCTTTGTGCATGTAACTAAGACTTGATAATCTTTATAAAATTCTGTGATTACTGTAACATTGTCATATATTAATTTAAATAAAGAAAATTTGTAGTCTAAACAAGTACCTTGATTGATCTGATCAAGTTTATACTAGTATCAAACAAAAAAATAAATTGTTTTTATAACGATACCTAACGATGCATATTCGATCTAAAATATATATTTGTATTGATCAAAGAAATATATTATTGTGTTCAGTATGTATAGTTTTCTGTTTTTATCATACCATAATACTAAAAATAAATGTTATCTTTTTCAGTGTAATAAAGTGATCTTATTAGAATCAACTAAGGTAATGTTATATTCAAGTATTGTACTTATTTAGAGTAAGTATACAGGGTTATTTGTAAAACACCGTTTAACCTCTTAAGAGGTCATTGTACTCAACATTATGAAAAACTTTTATTATGGGACCCCACATGATTTAACTCGTCAAAATGTATGAAACAGTTGATTTTTTTTGCGATTTCAGGTGTGGTCCCATATTAAAAGTTTTTCATAATGTTGAGTACAATGACCTCTTAAAAAGTTAACGGTGTTTTACAAATAACTCTGTATAGGATACAGTGTCCCAGAAACACTACATCATAGCGTTAGAATATGAACAGTCAGTGAAACTATACTTTTTTGGTAAGACTATACGCTATTCGCATATTTTGAAATAGATTTTGCATGGAAAACAAAATATTTTCCACTGACTGATCATATCCTGTCGCTCTGATGTGGTATTTCTGGGAAACCTGTCCAGGGACTATCACCAGGCACCACAATATACATATAACTAAGTGAATAATAAAACACATTAAATTATTATTTAAAGGAATTTATTTAAAAAATGCCAATCTTTTAAGTAATAATTGTTTTAAGAGTACGAGTAGAACAGCTAAGCTGCTGACTCAGTAAAGGCTGTTTTGCATTTTGATTGATGCGAGTGAAGTACAGTGAATCGAAAAAGCACATCAAAATAGGGGTCTGTATCCAGGGATTTTTTGCTGAAATCTGAAATTAGTGCAACTTGGACTCGCACTAATCAAGGTGTAATACTAGCCCTAAAGTGATTACTAAAATAAACAATATTATTATTATTACTTACTAACAGTCTCTTTGAAATCTTTCTGATAAGTATATAATAAAAAAAGTAACTTAAAATTGTAAGCGATAAACATAATTTCTTGCTCTTCTAGCAATTTCAACGTTAAAAAATATAAAAATTACAGTAATTAAAAAAAATGTAAAGAAAAAGGTTTTTTTTCTATTGTGTTTCTAAAAAAAGATAGGTAATATGGATGAATCGTGCGTAACGTAATATTAATAATCAACACATTAAGTCTGTCTTTTTTTAAATTTCTTACCTACTAAAATTATATAGAATAAACACTCTATATACAAGGTGTTAATAAATTAACCCAAACCCTCTTAGGTGGTAACCCGGTCCATCATCGCATCATCATCATCCCGGTCGGTCATCTCCACTGAAGTGTTTCTTCGACTCTTAGGGGACTTGTTCCACTTGTTGGGAGGTAATCTTCAATTGTAACAGGGAGGTCCTGAAATAAGTATATTAAAATTGATCAAGTGTACGGTGAATATTCGCAGAATCCTATTAAACAACGCATGAATTGTCAGCCGTAGCACCCATACGTTTTGCATAAGCCTATTCGCGCTTTGGATGTCGATTTTTACATTAATTTTCACTGGCACACGATCTGGCTGAATCATTCGTCAACTGAACTATTCATTGGCCGGTTTTAGTAATATTTATGATGGGCACCACATTAAAACGAACGAAAGAACAACAAATGAATAATGTTTTTAACATGGGCTCATGGAGGGCTTGCGGCGCTCTCGGGCCGGGCATTCGGTCACTGTAGTTAAAGGTACACTGTAGGTACTCACAGAAAAAGAAATATTCGTCAAATCTGTTAACTGATTGCTTAAGTCCAGACTTGTACACTGGTTACCTGTTGAACCTTGATTAACATTTGAGAAATCCGTTGCCCAAGCTTTCCAACAGCGAAGGAATAGGGCTCTGGGCCCCAATTGCGAATTATTTCTTTTATATCGTCCGTTGTCAGTGCAGACAGGGATTCTATATTAATTTCATTTTCTGTAATATTAGCATAGAGAAATAAAATGAAAATTAGCCAATTCATGTGTGAAAGAACTAGGCACAAAAAATAAACAAGTAGGTAGGTACTTACTTGCGAAAAGTGGCCCCAGCTCCGAGAGCCCCCAGGCTCTCAGTAAATCCATCACCTCAGAATCTTCCATTTAGAGTTCCACTCTCATTAACACTATAGTGCACCAATTTTAAAACCATAGATACAATTAATTTTTAAAGCAATTTGCGTAAATAAGTGTAGCGTGCGGGCGAATCGAAAATGCATTCAATCATGATGGGACTTGAACGATGCGCGCCGCGCGCCAAACGTCTGTCGTTTATGAAGTTAGTTGCAGGTACACATTTCAAATAAATAAGTAACCTTTCAATTAAAAAAGCACGCGTTCGTTCTTATAGAGTTGCAGTGATCGAATGAACTATGAAATTTATTGTTACAATTATTTTATAATTATTGAAATTGTGGCGACGCATGCCACATGTCAACAGATGACGTCACAAGAATCCTACATCGCGCATGCAAAGTTTACAAGCGAATAAACACGGATAGAAAATCCCAACGAACAACTGTTGGGCAGAAAGCCCGCCAGGCACGATCACCTCGCCTGGTCGGAGGATCCTCCTTTTCCGATCTTAGGGAACTATACTCTCTGTTCCCTAAAGTGGTGACCCCGACGTGATTGGAAGCAACCTTCACTTCACGGAGCAGTTTAGCACCGTCATCCGTATCGCCATCCCTCTCATTCATCACTTCTCCGCTGAGCGGTAATCAAGTCGCAGCCAACCAGCATCCTCGGCCTCATCAGGGACCACCATTACCTGCAACGAAGTTGTGCAGCCTGGTTCTTCCCTACGGCCTCACCAGCGTCTAGGCACAGCACTTCTGCACACGGTCTGAAGGACACCTCCTCCCGTCAACGCAGATGCCGGCCACTACGCACCTACCCTCGCAGCATCTCTTCCCCGACTCACCGTGGGACACTGCGAACGCATCTCTCCGACTCACTGGAGTTTCACCCTGCACCGCTGACCCGACTCACTGGGCACTCAGCGGCACGGTTCCGACCCACTGGAACTAGGGACGTTCTACACTCTCTCTCGGCTCTGGCGCCACTCATCTCAAGCATCGACAGCAGTCTCAGCGGAATCGACCTCCGGTCTTGGGAGGGAGTGATGTGGCGACGCATGCCACATGTCAACAGATGACGTCACAAGAATCCTACATCGCGCATGCAAAGTTTACAAGCGAATAAACACGGATAGAAAATCCCAACGAACAACTGTTGGGCAGAAAGCCCGCCAGGCACGATCACCTCGCCTGGTCGGAGGATCCTCCTTTTCCGATCTTAGGGAACTATACTCTCTGTTCCCTAAAAAATAAATAGGTTTATTATTTATTTAATAAAAAATCTTTATGAGATTAACTAATTGTAATGAGTGATAACGATAAAGTAACTTGATAGAGCTGAATAAGTCTCAACAGGAATAAAGTAAACTTATTAAATTCAACACATTCGTATTGATAGACGTTCAATCATTTTAGCTTTACTGTGACAAAAAATGGTCAATTGTTATTTTTGACATTTTCTTGAATGATTCAGTCATATTTTTTTCAATCAAGCAAGATTTTAACTTGTTTAGCCTTGATTTTTTTGAGTGTAGCATCGTCAACTTAGTTGACCACCAGACGACTGTACAGTAAAGTGTACAAACAATTGATTTGTTGTCATTGGAATCTGAAACACTCTCTGGCAGGCAGTTCATACCGGCAGTACTATGGGCGGGCGCCGCGGTACCTTCATCAACATTAAAGTTCATTTAATAGTATTCGTGCTCAGTGGCCAGAATATGTACGATCACAATAATTTCCATACGAGTGAGTTTTTCTGCGCATGTCGTCACCGTGGTCATTACGCGAGCATTCAAACGCAATGTTTATGCAAACCCGGCCTGCGCTGTGTCATACGCTGCGCCTGCGCAAGCATACTTGTGCGTCTCCAGCGGGCGCCCGCATCGCAATTAGCTAATAATCATAGTGCATTATGTATGTATGCATTGTTTGTATTTAAACGTCGCAGTGCCATGAGAGGAGACTCGCTCGTAACTAGCTTTTTGTTGCAAACTTTAATTTTCTCGTCGCTCGCGAATGCATTCATACACGCTAATTCCACATACACATGAACCAGACGCGGTATAGTTTGTTTTGTGTAATGTTACACACTCTGTGTGTAACATTACCACACTCTGTGTGTAACCACGTACACGGTTCAGCTTCAGTATGGAAACAATGTTACTGAAAATTCATCTGATACAATGAATGTATGATGTACTTAATGTGTGAGAACTTTTTGACACTCGCGCACTGCGGACTGGGGGCGGGCGGCCGATAGTGTTTACTTTGTTATAAAATATTATGCCTAGATTATTATTTTGATGAATTTAGCGTAAACTTATACATTTTTAAACATAATTTTAACAAGTTGTGAGATAGTAAATGGATTTTATGTTAACCCAACTTCATTTAGGAATCTTAATTATATTACAGTATTACAGTTACTGCGACTATATTTTAGGATCTACAATAGCAGGCTGGCAAGCAATAAAAAAATTACATAATAATATATTGATAGTGTACAAATTATTAAATACAAGATAAGTGTTAAAAATAAATCTAGCTGTTCTTGGCAGTCGAGGTAAATGTACAGAACAATAAAACCTCATTGTGGGGCAGTGAAGTGAGACTGAGAGAGAATAAAGTGCTGTTATACTGATCATAATAAGATAAAATGAGTATTTAATGCAAATATTTTAGTTTCATACTGTGCCGAACTATTATAATAAGTAATTAGATTTGAATTAATATCTGACGTCACGGTCGAGTACACCGGCACGGCATGTGTGTGAACACGCACACTAACACACTCGTGTGATACCTGACGTGTACTGTCCAACGTCTCGTGTGTAGAACACAATACAATCGACAGACTGACATGGCACGCTCTCCGTATCTCAGGTACACACAACGACTAACTAGTTACATAACGAAGTTATAAGTTTTACAGCTGTAATGTCACAATGTTCAGGCTTTATGTGAAACGAGAAGTTAGTCACATTTGAAGTAGTAAGTAATAGAAATAATGTGTTGGAGCAGTAGCTATGTGTGTAGTGCAGGGCGGGCGGCGCCGGCGGGCGGGCGGCGGTGCAGCGCCACCTGCCGTAATATCCTATTTATGAATAATGTTTTATTCTAACAGCGTGCGACCCCCCACACGCCCGCCGCCAGGGCTGTCTCGTACTCGCTTGTTAGTGTTGTACTGTTACAAACAAACACACGGTCCCTCCATCCCTCTACGTTTGTGTTGAAATAAGTAAAAGCTATTGGAGCTGAATGTTGTCAATCTAGTGTCAAATACATAATATATTTTGGCGACAACTTCTACCGCACAACGCTTCAATAAGTATCACAGTCATATAGCACATGGAACATGATCGTAAATTATAGTATCTGTAATATTAATTATACCCAATGTTGTAACTGAATTCTGAACATTAACATTATACTGCTGACGTTACGCATACAGCCAGCGAGGATTTAGTTAGAGGTTATTGTTGAAGCTACATCGAGGGTAATCATGTTAAATGTACTAAGTAGTTGTACAACTTGCAATCACCAAGTTGCAGCAGGCAGCGAGGATAACTTCTACCATTACTGAATAGTTGTGAACTTATAAAATAACCAATAATACCTAATTGTTCGGAAACAATGTGCTTGCTTTTAAGCAATTATCATAAATCGACATTCTTGTGCGACAGTGTGTGGCAGCCCTGTGCTCGTTATTGCTTGCTTTGTTTTTGCGCGGCGGGCGGGGCCCGGGGCGCGGGGTGGCGGGGCCCGGGCCCTGGGTCGCGGGGTCCCGCCGGCTTTAATTAATGGAATAACTCTGCCGAGTTCGGCCGCCCCCCCCCCCCCACTTCGCTGCACAACGCTAGCAAATCTTTAAAGTATCACCTCCAGCGAATGTATTTGGACGATTTATGGACGCACCACGTAACGTCCATACCAAGTGCACAGCAGCACAGCAGTGCAGGGGTGCAGTTGGATGGTAGCATCCAACTCGACGATGAAGGTAGCACTATCGTCGTCTCCCCAGGATTTAAAAAAATTTAACGTCAACTTCAATCTTTTATTGAATGTATTGCAAACTTGTGCAGAAAACACATAGCCTGGTGCTGCCCGGCGGGTGTCGGACAGTGTGACCAACTATTCGTTGGGACTTTGAGAGGGCAAGTATCCAGTGGTTGTATGAACAGGTCAAACGGTTTCAACGAACATAGCTTGCATATATAATGTAAGTACAGCACGACACACATGTCTGATGTCTTAGAATAACGAAATGAAAATTCTAGTAATCTAAGAGCGGAAGCAGCGCCCCCTGGCGGCGGCGGGAGGAGGCCCTCCTTCTATATATATCACGTAAAATAGTCGCAACTCCTTTCACGACCCGTATTCGCTCCGCACCTTACATTATTATGATTTAGTGGAGCACAGTTGCAACGCTGCAGATGCCCCCCGCGGGGCCCCGGGCGCGGGCCCCACCCCCGGGGGTGGCAAGAAGTCAGCGATGGTAGTAATAAAGCCGGCCATATTTCACACTTAGCGCGTAATGAGCGCGCGCCCAAATAATTGGATCACGTACATAACTCATTATTACCTCGCGCCTCACTTCGGCGTGCGAATGTATCATTACTTGACTCCCCCCCTCCCCCAGCACCCTCACCGACCCCGAGCTGGCGACTTCTGAGCACGCAAACACAATACGAGCTAGTTAACCCTGCACCACGTACAGGTGGATGCTGACACCTCGCCGCGACTCACACTGCTGCTCAATACTGGTCGCTTGCTTGTCTGACAGCACGGCGTGCTCCTGTGACGCATCTGTTCCGTGTTCCATATTCACGCATAACTTTACGCACTCGAGCTACAGTCCCAAAAGAGCAACAAAGTGGCAATGGCCGCTGAACATGAGAGATAGTAAGCATTATTCAAGCACGCACAGGTACGCGAGCCAGTTAATCATAGTTTTTGCGGGAGCAGGCGGTGTCGGTATAATTAATATGTAGATTACTTTCTTTAAGCAATGGCGAGTGTTTA